CAGGACCCCAAGCTCTTATCTGTGCAAGCAAGGGAATGACCTGGCTGTGTGTTATCATCTTCTTGGCTATGGAAAATTCCTGTGTCATTCTTCAGACTTTTGTTCTGGCCATCCTGGCTCTGTGAACATTTCTTCCCTTATTAAACACCACCATTCGGAAAAGGAAAATCTTGAAGAATGAAGGAACACCTCCACCCCAAGGGAAGGGAGAATTATACAAATCTGGATATTTTTCCATTGCAAAACATCCCATTGAGTAGGCTTACTTTGAGCCAGATGTTCGGTTTGGCTGGAGGAAGGTGGTGTTAATGTTTCATGCCTTCTCCCAGCATAGCAACAAGTAGCACAGAGTAATGGGAAGAATCCTGGATTTGGAGGCAGGAGATTTGCTTGGATCCTATCTCTATTTACTAGCTATGTGACCATGGGCAAGTCATTTAACATCTCTGTCCCTCAGATTCTTCATCTGTGAAATGGAAATAATATTTCCACTCCCTACCTGTTGCTGTAACAAAAGGTCTTTGCAAATGTTAAAGTGCTATATAAATATGAATTATAACAATGTAGCACATTATCCTGGAATTTCATATAATCTGTGTGGTTTCTGCCAAAGCACAATTTTACTTAAGGTCATCCTTGGCATCTGCATTGGAATTAAAAATCAAAGTATAAGAGTGTGGTCAGCTTCCCCAGGGAAGGGGGTCTCCCCCTGTACTTTTTTTTTAATTGTTCCTATGGATTCAGTTACAGTCCCACTGACCCAAAGTTCTGCTCTGGATGAAGACTGAGAATCAGGGTGTGTGAGATCTACTCAGTCACTAAGCAACTGTGTAACCTTGGAGAAGTCACTTGGCTCTCTGAGACATCAACATTCACATCTGTCAAATAAGGGAGTTGAGGCCAATGGTCTCTAAGGCCCCTTCTGGCTCTAACATGATATGACTCTGATTCAGTTAAGGATGAAGATGGTAAGCTCAGGGTGGTCATCATTTTATAACATTTAGTGGCCTTGGGCCTGGGTAAAGGAAGATGTAGCCTCCTGAGCTATAGGAAAGAGAGGTCGGCCAGGTTGACCGGAGAAGCCCAGGTCTTGATGTCTGGTCTCAGCGTATAAGAATCTTCATGCCAAGATCTGTCTCTCTCAGTAGGAAAGGAATCATTCTCATATAGGCCACTGGCTCTCAATGTATTCTGAATAACTCTCACAGACATTCTGTGCCTCAGTCTTCCCATACCTATGACACTGGACAAATCACTTGGCCTTTTTGCATCTCAGTGTCCTCCTCTGTAAAAGAAGGGAGTTGGCTTTGTTGAACTTCATGGTGTCTCCTGACTCTAACATGCTATGAGCCAATGATCTGTGAAAGAAGGGTAACCTAGAGGGTCTATGGGTAGCTCTTACAGTCCATGGGGGTCAGCTGTTTCATGCAGGTGATCTCTAATTGGCTCTATAGCTGTTGTCCAGATAGGGCATTCATCACTGAATCTGAGTCAGTTTCTCCCCAAATATAGGCTTCTAAAGTGCCCAGACCCCAGACAATAAACAGAGCCTCACTTGGGGCACTCAAAATCCATGTTCAGAAATAGCTGGGAGAACAGCCACAAACCCGCAGGTGTGTGGGGGTGTTACAGCTGCCCCACCCCAAGCTGTGTAGAGGAGGTGCTCAGGTATGATTAATGGAGTTATGCCTTCCCATGCACCAGAAGGGTCTCCTCTCATGTGGGAGAGATGACTCAGGTTGCTTTCATTGCCAAGAAACTATAGGAGGAGAGAAACAAGTTCCATTAGGGGAAATGCCCCTTTGAGGGCAGTTGGACACATTTAACTTCTACAGCCAAATATGAACAAAATTTTCCTTCCCGTGTGTTTAAGGTGGCCCAGGCTTCACTCTCATTATGCTATCTGGACAACACACACACACACACACACACACACACACACACACACACACACACAAATTGAAAGTTCTAGTAAATTTCCTGAGCTACAGGATTCCTTCTTCTGAGATTAGAGCTCTGCCCTTGGGAAAATATAATCTCTTTCTTAGGTCAACCATCTAGTGGCTACTTGCTTTAGTGAGCCTAGCCAAGCTTTACATCCACTTTTCCGTCAGAGGTTTGGGTGTCTATGGTGGGTTGGTGGGTGAAAGAATAGGGTTCCTTTCACTGTTCTGACCACTCTTAAGGGGCTTTCCCTGTTCTGTACAGCCCTGGGTAAAAGTCTGTTTCATAGAGCCAGTGTGGTCAGGAATTCTGCACCATGGGCAAAGTTTCCAAATATTATTCACATGCTCTTTGGGGGTAGCTAACAGCTGGGGAAAAGGAGGCCCCATAAGAATAGACCATGGTGCACCAGTACAACTGATAAGGCAGTCTTATAGGAAGGCTGAATATTCATGATCCATACTCCTAGGCAGTTAAGTCAGGAAAGCTGATTTAATTTTAAATTCAATTCAAAGGGTGAATTGAGAGGAAGGGTGCTGCAGTGGATTGAGCTCTCGACTTGTATCAAGAAGACATGGGCACAGCTTCTGTCTCGGAGACATACTAGCCATGTGACCCTGGGAAAGCCACTTCACCTCTTTGGACCTTAGCTTCCTCTTCTGTAAAATGCGGGGATTGGGCTCAATAACCTCAGAACTCTCATCTAGCTCTCAGCCTAGGATCCTGTGGTCTCATAAACATTGATCGAGAATCTATTAGGCTGTAAAATGGAGGGGCCAACAAAGAACAAGACACAGCCCCTGCCTTCAGTGAGCTTATAGTCTAATAGAGGAGATAAAACATGGACACAAAGCAGAATGTGATCAAGCCCATTAGAAATTATTAGCACAAAGGAGAAAGAGAGAGCCCTTCGAGCTGAGAGGATGGAGAAAGCTTCATGGAGAAACTAGCAAATGAGATGGGCTTTGGAAGACAAATAGGGTTTCAAAAAGTATATTGGAGAAGAGGCCATCCAGGTATGAGGAAAGGATGGGATATGGAAAACCTGGGAATGATTGGGATGAAGAAGTCATCATGATCTATGGGAAAGAGCACTCACTGGTTAGGAAGACAGGTTCAAAATCTACCTCTGATGGCATGACCTTGAGAAAATCCCTTACCTTCCCTGGCCTCAGTTTCCTCATCTGTAAAATGAGGGAGTTTGACTTGATGGGCTTGGGATTGTAGTTATAGAGGCAGCTAGATAGCACAATGGATAGAGCATTGGGTCCAAAGTCATGAAGACCTGAGTTCAAATCCCACCTCAGATATTTGCTAGCTGTGTGACCTGTGTGACTGTTTGCTTCAGTTTCTTTATCTGTTAAATGGGTTTAATAATAGCACCTACCTCACAAGGTTGTTGTAAGGTTCAAATGAGATAAAATGTAGAATGCTTAACGCAGTACCTAGCATGTGATAAGTGTCATATAAATGCTAATTGTTATTTTTTTTTTGCCTTTTTTTGGTTGTTTTTGGCAGGCAATTGGGGTTAAGTGACCTGCCCAAGGTCACACAGCTAGTATGTGTCAAGTGTTTGGTCTGAGGCCGGATTTGAACTCAGGTCCTCCTGACTTCAGGGCTGGTGCTCTATCCACTGTGCCACCTAGCTGCCCCTTGTTATAATTATTATTATTATATTTCAGACACCTTTCAGCTCTAGATACATGATCCTATGAGTCTGTGAAGGGGAGTTGTATGAGATAAGGCAGGATAGAGCCAGGCCAAGGAAGACATTCAATGTCAGGCTGAAGTTAGGACTTGCTTCAGCAGGTGATGGGGAAAAGCCTCCCCTGCACATAGTAGGTGATTAACACACTTTTATATAATTGAAACCATGGAAAATTTCTGAGCTAGGAAGTGATGCGGTCTGAAGTGTGGATGCTAATTATTCAGCATTTCTAAAATGCTTTCAAGTTTTCAAAGAGCTCTACATATGCTACCCCATTTGATCAGGAGGATCATTCTGGCAGTGTATGTGCAAAAAATGAATTGGAGGGGCTAGATGTGCAAGTAATGAAACTGAGGAGGAGCCCAGGAAGTGTCTGGGCCAGAAGGAACCAGATCCTGAGCTGTGGCATTGGAAATGGGAATGGAAGGAGGAGATAGGGTTATGATATTTAACTTCTCTGTCTGTATTTGCATTTGATAATAAATAACTCAGCATCTACAGAGAGCTTCAAGGTTTGCAAAGTGCTTTATGAATATCTATCTTCACAACAACCCTGGAAAGTAGCTGCTATTATTTTACAGATGAGGAAATTGAGGCTGAGAGAAGTTAAATGATTTGTCCAGAGTCACAAAGATAATAAGTAGCTGGGGTGGGATTTGAATTCAGGTCTTTTTGATTCCAAGCCCAATGCTCTATTATGGCACTTAGCATATTTTTGCTGAATATATATATATATATATATTTGGCTGAATCCGAATTTCAGTCAAAGGGCCTCACTTCAGGACTTAGAGGGCTACATGTGGCCTCAAGGCCACAGGTTCCCCACCCCTGTAAGAGATGCTGCCAATGTAGAATTGGCTAACTATAGTGGCTAATTGGATGGGGTGGGGTGTGGCAAAGGAGGGAAGAGTCAGCAACTTCTCCAAGTTTACAGGCTTGAATGTAAAGAGGGTGATATCCTTTAGCCAGGAGAGGGAGATGGTTTTCAGAGGAAAGTAATGGACTTTGTCATAAATAGATTGAATTCGAGGTACCAACAAGACATTCAAATGGAAATAGCCATCAGATAATTAGAAGGGACTAGAGTTCTGGGAAAGAGGTCAGGACTGGGAATGTAGATTTGGTTCTCATAGGCACAGAGCTGACAGTTAAACCTAGGAGGGTAGGTGAGTTCACCAAAGAAGAGGAGAGGAAGTAGAGAGACAGCAGTCAGCTTGAAATCTCTCAATAAGATTTTTAAAAGTGTCTACTTCCTCGGACTTGGAAATCCTCAACTTCCCATATCAGTATTGATCACAAGAGAAGAAATGCATTTGTCCAAGGGTATTAGGCAGAAGACAACACCTACCTTTCTGTGGTGTCACTGTGGGTAAAGGCTCAGGGGGCTTCCGGACCTCAGGCATGATGAGATGGTCCTCCCCCTCGCAGCAGGACAGCATCACATGGTTGCAGGGATATCCCAGATTTGGGTTGGACTCACACATCTGCCCCTCGTTCTTGACTTTCAGGCCCAGGTTACAGCAGTCACAGCATTGCTGCAAAAGGAGAAGCCCACAGAGTATCAGGGCCTTGGTACCATCCCCACCTGCTGGTGTCCACCATCAGGACATTGGAAGCAATGAAAATATGGTACATAGAGAATTATGGAATTAAAAAAATAGAGGAGGCATAGAAAAAAGGAAACGGGGAAGGGTTGGCAGATGGGGAAGGCGTAAAAACAAGTTTATCTTTGCTAATAGTGTCCAATGAAATTACAATACATGGTATTTGGCATCTACAGGTGGAAGCAGAAATAAGACCACCAAAGGGTTCCATGAGACATGAGGTCCAAGAAAGCTTGGGTAAGTCAATTTCTTTGTCTGATCCTCGGTTTCTCTGGGACTGAACCAGATGGGGACTAAGAGTTCTTCTAGTTCTACTATTCTACAGTTCTAAATCACATTCCCACTCCAGGCTCTACTATCCTTGTCTATAAAGTGAGGGGTCTGGACTAGATCCTTACAGCCTCTACTCACCCCATCATTCTGTGATCATCTCTGACCTTCAGAGATACTGTATCCTGGGTCAGCCTCAGAGTCTCTGTGGCCCTCTGCTCTGGCTCTGACCGGGCATGTTTTGTACCCTACATTGCAGACTGTTGTGGCTGATATCACTCTCTCAGGCTAACAACATTCCCCAATGTCCTGGTTTCCTTTTAGAGCCTCTTACGGGTCTGGCATCAATGAGTTTATCTGAACCTTTCAGAAAACTCTTTCTATTTTTGACCCATCTCTCTCCTATAGGAGAGAGCTCTATAAAGTTTCTACTCACTAAACTTACCTTGTCTGACCTTCAAGGAATCCTCTCAGAGTTAGTCATAGGAGGATGTGTGAACAGTCTCTCTCTCTCTCTCTGTTCCCTTCATGAGATTGATCATTCCTTTCTCAGCCTGGGTCTTTCCAGCCTGAAGAGGCCTCATCTTTTTTTCCTGATTACAGAGAAATCCCTCTAGTTTGTAGGATAGGAAGGTGCATAAGGCCGACCTATACACATGGGAAACTTCTCCTGTAAGGAAGATATTCTAAAAGGACTAAGCCCTGGTCTGTTTGGGAAGAGGTTTACAGAGAGATGTAAGGACGCTCCCAAACGGAGCGATTTTGTCTTAATAGTGTCAATGAATCAAACTGCCTTTGGGCCATTAGTCCTCACCATGTAAAGCAGTCAGAGGGTCCTTTCTCCAGGTGTAATTCCATGGAACATGCTTTTTCTCCAGGCTTAAGATTCCCCACTCCATCCCCCTATTGTTACCCCTCTCTCCTTAGTTGTGTTATGACTTTCTCACCACGTAAATATGATATAACCACCTCCCTACTCAATTGCGATACACTCCTTCCACATTTTGTTATGATTTAAAGACCACTCTCCACCCCCGCTCCCTAGCCAGGTGTGATATTCCAGCATATCCATGATGTCAATGGGCATTACTACCACTAGTAGCTGTTCCAAACGCACCTTCTCATGTTGTGTTATTTGTACATATCCTTCCAGAAGGAACCCACTAAAAAGGCTTGAGGTCTTCCTCTCCCGTCTCGTCTCCCGTCTCTGTACCTTTGCATAAGGGGTGGTCCCTTTTGTCTGGAATGCACTCACTCCTCACCTCTGCCTTGTAGAATCTCTATCCTCTTTCAAAGCACAGCTCAGGTGCTATCTTCTACACAGGAGCTTCCCCTCACCCACTCCGATTGCTAAGGTTTTTTTTTTCTTCTTCTTTAAATTACTTTGTATTCTTATGTATATGTTTGTATTTATTTATGTGTACATATGGCATTCCCTTTCCCCTTATAGAATGTAAGATACTTGAAGGCAGATTGCTTCATTTTTGTCTTTCACTAGCCCCTAGCATAGTGCCAGGCACATAGTTTAACAAATGTCAAATTAAATTGAGTTGAACTCGATGGGCCAAAAACCAACTTCATTCAGTAGTCTCAGCAATAGGATTTTTTAATCCACTTAGTTTTCCTGTGTGGCTGAACATCTTTGAAAAGCTGTGGATTCAAGGCTTAATACAATCAATACAATGTCATCCTTAAGTAGGGGAGAAGAGGAGAAGGGAATAAGTATTATTAAACACTTACTATGTGTCAGGCACTGGGCTAAGCATGTTACAAATATTATTTTATTTGATTCTCACAATGACCATTAGAAGTTGGCCCTAGAAGCATCTGAAAAACCGATAGGAAATCCCTCTTTGGACACTGAGCTAGACACCCTAATCAAGAGCAGCAAATGTCTTTGGCAAGCATATATCTCCCTGTTTTATGCTCCAACTAGTAATGATAAAAGCAGAAGATCTTGAACAAATTCAAATTTATCTTGTGGTTGTATCTCTCAAGAATTCTTGAATGATCTCAACATGCATGGGACACACCTTGTCAGAAGACTGCCTTTAAGGCCACATTTTTCTCTCTTGAGTCAAATGTTTTATTTTGGTTTGGTTTTGGAAATCAACAAACAAGCAAAAATACAGTAATTTAAAAACAAACAAATATATAACATAGCAGGATCCTATATACTGTTTCAGTCAGTTGTCATTGATGGGAAAAAAAAAAACTGAGAAAGCCTTCCTGTTCTCTTCTCATCTTTTCATCAAAGACATCTTTGATACACATGTAAATTATTCTTGCAAAGATTTTATAAAACAAGACCATAGCTGTAGGGATTGGTAGTTATGAATGTCTTCTCTTTCACCCCTTTTAATCGTAATTACCATCTGTGAATTTTTCAAGTCTTTTGTTATCATCTTCTCTTTCAGATACCTTGAAATTCAACCCCTCAGGTACTTTTCAAAATTGTCTCTTCCAGCACAGATTTCTTCTCTGCAAATTTACTTGGTCTTGTCCAACTGTTCTTATTTTCATCTTCTTAGTGCCATTTATCCCAACCCCCAACAACAACAACCAAGTTTCCCTCTGCCTCAGTGTGATAAGATGCCCAAAATTTAGCAAAGTTCCTCATTTCCTTTCTATTTAGGGGTGATAGTCCTCTCCCTACTCCTTTATATCCAGTCAAAAAGGTCTGATGTCCTACCATGAAAAGAAAACCTTACCTTCTTGTCTGTAAACTTATCCAGGTTTTGAATCTTTGTCCTTGTCTCTCCCCAACTCACTAGGAATCATTACTCTTCTGATTTCTATGCCCATCATCCCTGTTGAACTTGGCACTCAGCTTTAACTCCTGATCTAGGATGGTGTTTCTTTACCCTGGCCATTTTTTTGCCCTACTATTGCCCACTCACCATCCTTTGACTTCCCAGACCAAAACACCCTTCTTTGGACACCATTTTCTTATATGTGTTGTCTCCTTCTATTAGAAGGTTGGCCATTTGAGAGCAGGGACCATCTCACTTTTGCATACTAGCTCTTATGACAGTGCTTGGTACATAGCAAGTGTATAATGGATGCTTATTCATCCATCCATCCATCCATCCATCCATCCATCCATCCATCCATCCATCCATCCACCTTTTCCATTAGAAATACACAGTTAAAGGAAGGAAACCTAAGCTAGGAAACCAAAATTGAGAATAACCTATAAGGGAAGAACCAAAGAGCTGCTAGGTCTTGCCTTGTACAGGGAGACTCCACAGGTGTCATTCTCCTCAGGCCCACAGACTTCACCTTCCTTGGCACCAACCATCCCAGCAACACAGCTGTTTTCTTTCAAGTAGGAGATACAGCACTGCTTCTGGGCAATCCTGCAACACAGACAGGTTGGGGGCAGGGGAGGGGAGGAGCAGGGATGGCTGCATTAACTCGAAACTAATAACTGATGATGAAAATGGACATAAATGGACATAAATAGCCCCTAGGTCAGTCTCCCCACCATCTCCTTCTCCTCTCCCCTGATTTCAAAGGGAGACTCTCTGGAAGTTGAGGTGCATGCTAACTTGACCCAGGCTTTGTGCATGGAGGATGCCTCCATTCACTCCACTCTGCCTTCAAGGGGCTTGAACAACTAGAAGATTTCTCTTTACAGGGCAAGCAGCTAGTCCTTTGGCAGAATGGGGGTCATAACCTAGTAGACTGCCTTGTGTTCTGTTACAAGGAACACTCAACTTGAAGGAAAGAGGCATGGGTTCTAGTCTCAGCTCTGCCCAAAGACTTGTGTGTCCCTGGGTAGAGTAACTGTCATGCAAACTTCAGTTTCCTCTCCTATAAAATGCAGAGAGACTGGTCATGAGAATTGCCCTCTTTCATATGCTACTATACCTTGTATCACACATTTGCGTGCTTCCAAATTCTTCTCTAAGTCCCTTCAGGGGAGAAACTGTTTTCTTTTATGTTGTCAGGGTCTAGCACAGTGCATGGTCTGTGTGTATATGTAAATACATACATATGTTTGTACAATGTGTGTGTGTGTGTGTGTGTGTGTGTGTGTGTCTTTTTAAACAAAGACATCAGCAGGGGTGGGGTGGTTGTAGTGGTGATCCAGACCTATGACTTCATTCATGTAGGGAACTTCTGGTGAGGAAGCTCCCTCTACCAATGCAGATCAGCACCTGCTGTGCTACTGCATAGCAGATAGTGGCTACCACAATGGGTCATATGGCTAGCATGTACTGGAGGCAGTACTTGAACCCAGGTCCTCCTCACCCGAAGGTTCTCTTGTTAATGCTACAATAGGCACTTAGCAAATTTTTTTTTTAATGGAATGAGATAGTAGATATAAAGTGCTTTAAAAATATGCTATACCAGTACTTACTTAAGGGTAATTCTTAAATCTCTAAATGCTTACATCAATAAAATAGGGAAAGAGCAGATCAATGAATCAGGCATGCAACTAAAAAACCTAGAAAAAGAACAAATTAAAAATCCCCAATTAAGCCCAAATCAGAAATCCTGAAAATCAAAGGAGAGATTAATAAAACTGAAAGTTAGGCAACCATTGAATTAATAAACAAAACTAAGAGCTGGTTTTATCGAAAAGAAAAAAAAAACAAATAAAATAGAAAACCATTAGTTAATTTGATTTAAAAAAAAGAAGAAAAACCAAATTACTAGTAAAAAAAAATGAAAAGGGTGAATTCACCACCAATAAAGAAAAAATTAAAGAAGTAATTAGAAGCCATTTTGCCCAATTGTATGCCAATAAATCTGACAATCTAAGTGAAATGGATGAATATTTACAAAAATGTAAATTGCCCAGATTAACAGAAGAGCAAATAGGATACTTAAATAACCCCATTTTAGTAAATATACTATACAAATAGTAGGTATTTGTATTTCTTGAAAACAACTTAGTGCTTTGTGGTCCTTTCCAACAAATATACCAAAGCATTTCCCATGAATCTAGCTCCCTCTTCTTTTTGAGAAAGAGAAGTAAATTTCTAAGTTTTTTCTTGGGACTGAAAAACAACAGGTGGTGTGCCTTCATTCAAAGACAGTTTCTTGGCTCAAGGCCATGAGCTTGTAAGGAGTAGAGACACCCCACCCCTAGGCAAGCTATTATTAAGCCAGGATTGGTTGATGTTAGGGCCAAGGAGGGAGGGAGGTGCTGATCCATCATGATCATGGCCCAGGAATGTTCCTTTCCCTCAGAGAGAAAGAATGGAGACAAAAACAAGTCATTGGTCAGGGATGAAGGGTCAGGTGACAGGCTCTAAAGTCTCATGACATCTCCAGACATAATCTCTTGAAAAAAGATCAAGGGGACCCAAAGTAATTTCTCTTCAGTATTGAAAGCTTTCCTTAAAAGTCATACTCCAGTGGTTCATTATAGCCAGAAGTTCTAGAAGTCTATGTCAATGGACTATAAGCTCTAGTAGGTCCTATTACTCTGCAAAAACTATAGGGATAGGCCTGATGTCATGCTATGTGTTTGCCACCCAAAGACCAACTTAGCTAGTTACAACAAGGCTGAAAACCAAAAAGGTGGTTACCAGGTAACTCAGGAGACCTGGTAGGATGTGTGTGGGGAGGAGGGTGAAATGAGCTGATATGCTGAGTACTATAACAATAACATAACAGATCTTTCAAAGTACTGAAATCCCTATGGGAAGGAATGATCAATCATTCAATATCAGACCAACTCAAGATTTTCAGGCTCACAAATTGGCCATCTAGTCTAAACCATAGTCAACCTATACTTCATCACATGATGATCTTGTTACAAGGGGATGGACCCCTGCTGAGAAGTGGAAGGGATCTTAGAGGCGATAGGGAGTTTATTAAGTAGTGAGGAACATGGTCAGATTTTTTTATTTAAGAAAATCAGTTTAACAGTTGAGTGGAGGATGGACTGGGAAAGACTTGAGGTGAGGATAACAACCAGCAGCCTACTGCAATAGTCCAGGTATGAGGTGATGAAGGCCTGTACCTGGGTGATGGCAGTATCAGAAGAGAGAGAGGGGCATATATGAGAAATGTTACAAAAGAAGAATTGACAAGACTAGATAATAAATTGGAAATGGAAAGAGTTCAGGATGATACGTAGGTTGAGAGCCTTTGTAACTGGAATGATAGTGGTGTCTTTGACAGTATTTGGAAAATTGGGAAGAAGGGAGGGTTGGGTGTGAGGAGAGAAAGATATCAAGTTCAGTTTTAGACATGTTGAGTTTAAGGACATTCAGTTCAAGATCTCCAAAGGGCAATTAGAGATGTGAAACGAAGTCAGGAGACAAGTTAGAGCTGGCAAGTAGATATAGGAGTCATTAGCATAGAGATGGAGCTGATGAGATATCCAAGCAAAATAATATGTAGGGAGAAGAGAAAAGGACCCAAGACAGAACCTTGGTGGACACCCATGGTTAGTGGGCATGAAGTTGATCAAGATCCAGCAAAGGAGATTGAGAAGGAGTTGTCCAACAGGTAGGAAAAGAATGAGGAAAACGTAATATCACAAAAACCCAGAAAGAAGAGAATATCAAGGAGAAGAGGGTGATCGATAGTGCCAAAGGATTCAGAGAGGTCAAGAAGAATGGAGATTGGGGCAACTAGGTGGTGCAATGGATAGAGCACCAACCCTGGAGTCAGGAGCACCCAAGTTCAAATCCAGCCTCAGATACTTACTAGCTATATGATCCTGGGCAAGTCACTTAACCTCTATTGCCTAAAAGGATGAGGATTGAGTAAAGGCCATTAGATATGGCAATTAAGCAATCATTGGTAACTTTGGAGGGAGTAGTTTCAGCTTAATGATGAAGTCAGGAGCCAGACTGAAGAGAATTTAAGAAGAGAGTGAGAGGAAAAGAAGTAGAGTCATGAATTGTGGATAGCTTTTTCAAGAAATTGAGCCACAAAAAGGGGAGAGACACAGAATGATAGCTAGCAGGGATGGATGGATCAAGTGAGACGTTTTTGAGGATAGGGGGGATGTGTGAGTGTTTGTAGGCAGTAGGGAAGTAGCCGGTAGACAATGAGAAATTGAAGATTAGTGAGAGAGTAGAAATGATCGTGTGGGCAATCTGCTCAAGAAGATGAGATGGAATGGGAGCCCTTACCTATTTTGAGGGTTGGCCTTGGCAAGGAGTGGGGCCACCTACTCACGTGAGATAGGGTGAAGGAGGAGAGAATGGCAGAAGGCATCTGGGTGATGTGAAATAAGAGGAAGAGGGAGAGGGAATTCCCAAAGATTAGCCTCAATTTTATCAGTGAAATGCGAGGCTAGGTTCTCATTTGGCTTGTGCTGGGAGGGACAGCCATGGGAAGTTTGATAAGAGATCAAAAAGTTTGGATAAAATATTGTGGTGAGTGGGATAGTAAATCAGTTAGGGATACCTAGAAGGATTGCCTTGGCACAGTAAGAGCCCACTTGAGATTATGGATCCTAAATTTGTAGTGGACTCAGAGCCATTTCATGATTTTCTCCAGCTTCATTCAGCAGCAGGTGAGTAAGCTGTGAAGACAGCAGATGAGAGGAGTGATTCAAGGCTGAAGCTTGGCAGCTTATAGGGGCAAAGCATAAGGGGGCAAGGGTCTTGAGGAAAGAAGACAGTGTAGAGTTGATCTGATTCACCAAATGGTCAAGACAGGGATGGGAGGAAAGTGTCATCAGGGCAGGGGTAGTAGCCTGGGAAAGAATTGAGGGGTCAAGGGGTTGAAGGTCACAGAGAGAATAGAGAACAGGGTTTGGAGTTGCAGGGGCTGCTTCGTTTTTCTCTTCATATCCCCAGCTCCCAGTATAGCACCTTGCTTAGTACATGTTTGCTAAAGTACATTGTTGAAAAGTCCAAGAAACAAGTCCACCCCCACGTGAAGACTAAACAAACCATGTACATGGGCATCAGGGAGACAGGGAGCAAAGGTGGGAATGGAAGGATAAGGAGTCAATCAGAGAAGACTTCATGGAGGTAGAAGTTTGAAGGAAGGGACAGAAACTGGTGAAAAATAGCCCCTGAGCAAAGGTGGAGGGGAGTATGAGCTAGTTACAGATGCTGGGCTTACCTGGAGAGGAGTCTGGGATTAGGCTTAAAAAAGGACAGATAAGATGAAGGTTTCAGGGAGCCCAACTGTAGAAGTCCCTGAGGTTAGGGTGGGACAATTTCCCCCAGAAAAAAAAACAAACAAACCAAAAAACTTCCTAGTGCAGTGGGTCACAATTCCCTTATTTCTTCTTTCTTGGTAAAGTACAAAGACAACAGAATACTAAATGGAACACCCAGCAAATGCATCCTCACCCACTAGGCTGATCCTGCCCTTTCTCTTTAAACTCAAACTGAAGAGTGAGAATTTAATTCAAAAGGCAATAGAGACTCTCTAAGTGCCTCTCCCCCACTCCCCAAGCAACTCTCTAAGACCACAGGGTTCAGAGAAGTTGTCAAAATGGCTGGAGCTCATTACCACTCCTGAAATCAGAGGTCTGGGTTTTTATTTTGTTTTGTTATTGTTGTTTTTTTAAATAGGGCAATAGGGAACCAGAGGGGGTATGTTTATGAGCCAGTGAAGGACACAGTAAGATCAATACTTGAGGAAAGAGATTCAAATAGGGAACAGGAGAGAGAGCTGGGCTCATGAATCTATGTAGGAGAGCATGGATGCAGTCTGGACATAAGATGTTAGGAGTCTGGACAGCCACAGACATAGAGAGGGAGAACTACAGCTAAAAAGCACAAAGAAGGAATGTGGGAGTCCTCAGGATGGAAAGGGACAGACATATCGGTGAGACGTAGAGAAAGGGCACGTGTCAGGACCTGGTGAAGGATTGGATGTGCAAGCCTCGGAGCTGAAGCAATGGATTCCCACACCCAGCTCCCCTTGAGCACCCCTCTCCACCCCTCTCTGGATTCCATTCTCTGGAGGAATGGATCACTCTGATTTCCTGGTTGCCAAGGAGACCGGAATAACACATCCATAGCAGCAGCAGCAGCAGCATAGGTCACCACGGCTCTGCTCTTGAGAAGGGCAATTTTATCCTGCTTAGGTAGAGAGGGGTGGTATCGAGGACAGTGCTTGGAGGCAGCCTCTAGCGTGACTGGTGGGAAAGGAGATGTTACCACTCAAGCCTTGTGACCGTGAAGCTCAGAAGCAAGAGTTTCTCGTGGGTGACCACGATCCTGGGTGAATGTTTCATTCTATTTCCTTATCTCACTCTATTCATTCCATTCTGCTCTGATACCAAACATTACTCTGCAGAGAGCATGTATTCACTTACTTGCTTACGTGATGTATTCTACTCTCCCCACCCCCACCCCCAGTACAACCAACTGATCAATTAATAAGCATTTATTAAACACCAAGAACTGGTAAAATTCCAATTTAAGTGCTGGGCATACAATAACAAAAGTGAAAACCCCCACCCCCAAGAATCTTATCCTCCAACAGATTTTCAAGTAAATACAGAATATATGCAAAATGAATGCTGGGTAGTTTTGGGAGGGAAGTACTGGCAGCTGGGAGGATGCTAAGGGCGTGGTCAGATTTCTTCTTTGTGTTCCCAGTTCCCAGGATAATGCATGTATGAGGTATTTAAAGTCGACTGAAGTGAATTAAACTGAGCAAGGATGCATCAATGCGTGGGCCTTGGAGTCACTGAAAATGACAATGGCTACAACCTGCCCATCTCCAGTCATCCCAGAACCTTCTCCTTCCCACTCCCTCATGTAGAATGGACACTACATGACCCAGAAGGCAGTGCCTTTATAAACAATGTTTACTGACCATGGTGTGGAATGGGATAAGGAGGATTGTGCAATGATCTTTGAAGCATGGGGGGGGGGGGACAGCGGGGAGCTAGAGTGGATAGAGTACTGGGCCTGGAGTCAGGAAGACCTAAATTCAAATTCTACCTCAGACACTTACTAGCTGAGTGACCCTGGGTAAGTCACTTACACTTATTTTGGTTTTCTCAACTATAAAATGAAAATAACAGTAGCACTTATGTTTTAGAGTTGTTGCAAGAATCAAATGAGATAACATTTGGAAAGCACTTAGCACAGTGCCTGACAAATAGGTATTTAATAAGCCCTATTTTCCTTCCTTCCTTCCTTCCTTCCTTCCTTCCTTCCTTCCTTCCTTCCTTCCTTCCTTCCTTCCTTTCCTTTCCCTTCCCTTTACTAGTTACATGTGCTTTTTGTTTTTATCCCCATTTTACAGTTGAGGAAACTGAGTCAAACAGGTTAAGTAATTTTTACAGAGTCCACTGGCTGGATTTGAACTCAGGTTTTCCTGACTTTATTCTCAGTGCTTCACTATTGTATTCCCAGGATCCTCAGAACACACTGAAATCTAACTGAAAAGCTCGGGCTAAAGGTGAAGGGTCCCAATGGGAAAGAGGTCTCTACCTTACCTGCAAACATCACCATCAGCCCCACTCACAGGTATCTCTATGCACTCGGCATTGTCGATGGCCCACTGTTGTCCAGCTGCACAACACGTCTCTATCAGGTCTTTGGTAGAACCTGGAAAAAAAAAGAAAGAAGGTGAGGTTAGGAAATTCTCTTCATGTTCTTCAATCATAGCCACTGAGATGGAACCCAGAAAAACAGCAAATAAGGACGTTTCAAAAACTGGAAGACTAATTCCCCTCTGTGGGATGCCCTCCTTGTGATGTCTGGAAAGACCTTTTGCAAACCAAGGAACCTTTAGTACTCAAGTGACTTTGCAGGATGAGAAAGCTACAAAGAACACAGGGATTCTGTCTCCTGGAATTATTTCCTGGGAACCGTCCATTAATGGAATTCCATTAAACCGTCCATTAACCGGCCAGTAATGAGATATCGGCATGTGTCACAATCCTTGGATGCTACTACAATGCCACTTCCTCCATGAAGCCAATGGAGCCAACACTGCCCTCACAGCACCTTACATTCCTCTCACGCGTTCATCTTATTCTACTTTATTGTTATAATTCTATTTGTAGTGGGGCCATCTCCACCCACTGCACCGTACCAGCTCAGGGGATTGTCCATGCTTTTTGCTACCCATGAGGACATGATAGACACAGGAAGAAATTGTGAATGCTTTGTTAAACTTCTAGAAGCTGGACATGGGGAGTGCTCCTTAGGGCAGCAGATATACCAGCTATGTGTGTGGGTTCAGTCATTTTTCAGTCGTGTCTGCCTCTTCATGTCCCCATTTAGGGTTTTCTTGGCAAAGGTACTGGAATGATTTACTATTTCCTTCTCCAGCTCATTTTATAGATGAGGAAACTGAGGCACACAGATTTAAGTGACTTGTTGAGGATCACGCCACTAGTAAGTGCCTGAGGCCGGATTAGAACTCAGGTTTTACTGACTCCAGGCCTAAGGTTCTGTCTACTAAGCCACCTAGCTATGTGCCTAAATTTAAAAAGGAACAAAGTTTGGAGTCACCATGTCTGAACCTGGTATTGGTAATGGAGACACGCCCAGAGTTGAGACGGGCTGTTTGTTGCTGATCTTTGGGTAAATTTCTATGAGGCCAGAGGTCAACACAAACCATTGCCTTAGTGAGATACACCAGAACAAACACAAATTGGTCCAGCCCTGTACCACTGTCACTGGCAGCTAGGACGGGCAGAACATCGTCTTCGGCCATGACAGGCATTCTCTAGAGTATTGACTCTCTATGGTAGTATCACAGGACCCCTGGCAAAAGTATTTTTCTCCAGCCCTTCCCCAAATGGTTATCAAGTCTGGGGAGCCATGTAGTCGAGTTGGGAGAGTGATGTGTATGCCCCCTGTTGGCAATTGTGTGGAATTTCAGGAAGAGCTGCAAGAGGTGATACCTTCTAGAAGTCCTATATAGTGCGGGATTGCAAATGGCTCGAGGTTTTGCAGATCTGTACAGGAAGGACTGCCCATTGGAGGAATCTTTCATTTTCCATGAGCTCTGTTTTTGAATGCTGTTCTATTTTCCATCACTAAAATTTTTCTTCTTTGAGTCTGTGGGTTGTGTGCTTGTAAAGAAGATTTATGGCAACCTTCTATAAATTATAGTCATATGTTAAAAGTTCTAGATCTGCTGGGTGGAAGCTATGAGCCAGAGATGGGAGAAGTCTCCCAAAAGGTACCTGGGCCCTCCGTGTCATGTGAGAGTCTCTGATAAAGGTTTCACAGTTATCTGTGTGTATTTCATGTTACATTTCCCACCATGATCCACCCCATCTTCCTTAACCAGCTGATTAGCTCCTTAGCTTAAGGGACTATGTCTTACTTATCTACATAATTCTCCTAATAGTAATGGTAGTACATTGCACACAGTGGGTACTTTAATCACTTTATTCAATCAATGAAGCAATAATAATAATAAAAATATTTAATTATTAACTAATTAAATATAACAATAAAAATAAATAGTAATAATAAGCCAAATTCTTACAGTACATGCCTTCTATACTACCACCTTCCCTACTGCTTTCTATCTTCCCAACCTCTAGATTCCCCAGGCCTGCAAATGATTGAGAGATGTGAATGGTAATTCACTGGGGTGAGTGTAGGGACTCATCTCCGCTCAAGACCTTATATAGGATGACATTGTAGTACCCCCGATAGCAATTGGTGTTTCTGAACCCTCTATATCTAGGGGTGGGGAACCTGCAGCCTTGAGGCCACATATGGCCTTCAAGGTCCTTGTGTGCGGCCTTTTGACTGAGTCCAACTTTTCCAGAAAAAAATCCTTTTATTAAGGGGATTTGTTCTGTGAAGTTTAGATTCAGCCAAAGGGCCGCACTTGAGGACCTAGAGGGGCCACAAGTTCTCCACCCTATTTATCCATACTCCATTCTTTTGGGAACTGGGCAAATACCAAGAAAACAAGCCGAGATCAGAGATTTCCTCAAAATCCAACTCCTAGCAAATGTCCCAGGACCAGCACATATTCAGTCCTGACTCTTAACCCTTTTCCACCTATACCATCTTGCAAATCAATTAATCAATCAATAAAAATATTATTAAACCTATACCATGTGCCAGGAACCATTCTGGCTGCTGGGGATACAGAGATAAAACAAAACAGCTCAAAGAGCTTGCATTGTATCAGGGGAAACAGCACATAAATACATTTTAAAAAGCAGAAGCAAATCATATGCAAAGTAAAATCCAGGTGATTTCAACAAGGGGAGGGGGAGGCGCTAGCAGATGCAGGTGTGGTGGGGAGCAGGAAGCAGAGCAGGAAAGGCTTCATGGAGGAGGCAGTGTTTTGGGTGAGCTGTCATAAGGCTTTGCATATCTCTCTAAGCCTCTGTTTTCTTCATCCTTAGAATGAGGAGATTAAATTTCTAAAGACCTTTCCAACTCTAAACCTATGATCCTCTGATCTTTTCCGACTTGAAATCTATGAAAGTCTGATTCTGTGAAGTCCACAGAGCTTACATGGCACCAATAAAGATGGCATAGTTGGGGAAGGTCAAGACATGGAGGAGAGAAAAAGGTACATCCCAGGCATGGAAAATGGCCTAAACAAGTTTGGGGATGAGAATTAGAATGTTAAGGGTGAAAAACAGCAAGACAGTCCATTTGGCTAGACTGTAAAGTATGTGAAGGGAAGTAATACACCATGAGACCTGTGGAGGAATGGCAAATGTTCAAAATGATGACCCCGGTACCCTACCAGATCCTCTATCAGCAAGGTATGTTCAGGAGACTCCACAAGAACACTGACCAAAAGTACACTAGGAAAATTTTCAGTGACCAGCATTGACACAAAAAAAGTGGTCTCCTGTTGACTCTCAGTTTCCCAAGGCATTTGCTTAGCTGCGGTCCCCCATTCCCGGGATAGTCTTATAATCAAAGCTTGATAGTAAATGGAAAAGAAGGTGGGAACAGAGAAGAAACTAAAACAAGGCAGAGACAGACAGACAGACAGACAGAGAGACAGAGAGACAGACAGAGACAGAGAGAGAGAGAAGACAGAGAGACAGAGAGATAGAGAATGAGAGAGATAGAGATACAGAGAGATAGAGAGAAAGAAATAGAGACAGAGAGACAGAGAGATGGAGACACATAACATACAGAGAAAGACAGAGAGACACAGAAAGACAGAGACAGAGAATACAGAAGGATGTTAGCCACACACGAATTCTGCATGAATTAGCAGAGCATGGTTCAAGAAGAAAGTATTCTGGCAATGGCCAGGGTCCCACCCGGATCCCCAGAATTGTCACAAAATGAGTCACTCCCCATCTGTAAGGGAGGAATTCTGGCAACAGGCTGAACTAAGGGGTGTACATCACTTTGCTGTGATCATTTAGGAATGTGGTCCTGGAAGATAATTAGGAACAAACAGAACAAGGCCTAGGAAAACACCCCTGAAAGTCTGGGGAATGAAAATCAGGGGCAGCCTGCCTGGTAGGAGGGCCCAGGACTGCCTGCCTAGAGAATGGATCTTTGTCTCTTCCAGCTCTGTGTTGGTTTGTGGGGCTGGAAGTATCACTCCTACAAATGTGGGGGTGAGGGCCACTCACCATGACCCGGGGACATTAGATTGTTGGGGGGAATGTATTTGCTTTACCCCTCCTTCCCCCTACAATGCAGATCTATTAACATCTCCCATCTTTTCATGTCTGGAGACTCAGTTCCTCGAGAGAGACTGTATGTAAGGAAATTCTGGTACCCACTGCAACAACGTCAAACACTTCTGACCTGCTTCCAAATCCCACATCATCAGACCTCACTCTGGCTATCAACCAATCAACATGCATTTTAAAGCATCTCCTATGTGCTGGGCACTGTGTTAGGCCCTGGGGTACAGAGACAAAACCTCTAAGGCCTCCTCTGGCTCTAAATCTATGATATTCTGATTCTAGGAAGCCTAGGAAGCTTTATTGGCTCCAAAGAAGATGACATCATTGGAGAAAGCTTCATGAAGCTTGAGCTGGCTATAAAAGAATTTGCAATCATCTGACAAACTGAGTGAGGAGGATAGAGTGTTATGGGCAAGGGGAACATGAGCAAAACTGGGGAGGCAGAGTGAACACCATTGGGCTAGAGGGGGAGAGCCGATCTCTGGTTCCCTGACAGCCTTGGCTTTCCAAGGGCTCCATCTTAACTGGGGCAATGTTGATGAATACAAGCTAAGGGTTGGTTGGCAATACCACAACTTTCCCTTGGACGACAGCATTCATGAACAATAGTAGAAGAAATCCTATCTGGAAGGTCAGAGATGATGCTTTCTATAGAAAGAAGACTGGATTCATAGTCAGACAACTTGGGTTTGAATCCTGCCTCTGACACTTAGTACCCATGTAACTTAGGGTGGGCAAAATGAAAGGGCTGGACTTATGGTATCTGAGGTACTTTATGGTTCTAAGTCTATAATCCTATGATCCCAAGTTACTTTACCTGTGTGAGTCTCAATTTCCTTATCTAGAAAATGAGTGGGACTAGATCTAAATCTAGAATCCTTTTTCTGCGCCTCAGTTTCCTCAACTGGAAAATGAGTGGGTTGGAATCACTGGCTTCTGAAATCCCTTCCTGTTCTA